TCATTGACAAGATAGCTTAAGGTTGTTGTTGGCGTGAAACGACTTGACAATGATATATTAAGTATCGAGATATCGATATTTACTTGATATGCAGATAGGAGAATGTCAAGACATGACTGGTTGTAGAAACATTCTACTGTCGAGGCAAACATCGTTTGCGTTGGCAAACAATCAACTACAAGACCGGGTATGGTTGCATTTGGGACTATTACGTTAAGATCATAAATTCCATTTGTTTCCCATTCATCATAAAAATAAAGACCACCGGGCATAGGACATGATACATCATTTATACAATAGCACAATGTCGTCGATTCGTGTCTCTTGTATTTAGTCGAAAACGTAGGTACGATCTGCTCCGATTGCCAAACATTAATCGGCAGTCCGATAACGGCGTTCGTCGCTAAGCCCGTCATGAGTCCGCTAGCTTGTGTGATACGATCAGCGAATGTAATCGATTGATTAACACCATCCAATGCTGTTTGATGCGCATTATTCAAGGCAGTCAGAGTCTGTGTTCGTAATAACTCTTCGGGTATCAGCTTTGAGCTAATCAATGGCGTATTGGCAAATTCATCGAGTACTTCAAGAAGCGTACTATTTGCATAATGACAAAAAGTAGCAATTAGTTGCCACATGGCGCTCAAGCTTTTTCGCACATCCATTGGCCATAGAAGTGTGATATTAGTTCCAAACGCAAAATCAATCCACGCTTGTGAGATAAAACCGCTTGAACAGACTTGATGAAAAGTTGGATTTGTCTGAACAAATGTCGAGTATGGTATTAAAATCTCTGCACATGGGCATTGTAGAGAGTTTGAATATTGCTTTTGGAGGGTGTTGTATTGGATCTCTGTTGGCGAAGTGACGGTTGCACTCTTAGTCTGTACACTGATTGAAGTGTAGAGAGTTAAAATGGTAATAGAGAAGATAAGTAGAAGAATGAATAGGCGAGTAGAGAGAATCTCTCTGCGAATTTTCACCAAGTCGGTTGATCGAGAATCGAAAAGATTGAGCGTGTCAATCTTGGAACGAAGAGTATCGTATAATGTTTGCAGCTGCGTGCGTACAGGCATCGCTACAAGTATTTATCTGATGTTACATTCCTAGTTTAAGTGAATGAAAAACTGCTGGCTGTAAATAAAGATACAATAATGAAAACGAGACCATATAAGTGGAATTTTACAGAGTGTGGGTATTCTACGACCCAGGTCTCGAAAGAGGCCGCCCAGTTCCGCCCAACTTGGCTCGAGTTTGGCTGGAGAGCCCGACATTCCGGACCTGATATTTAGTTGGGGTGCCCAGTCTGATCTTCAATATTAACTTCCCTACTAATTCGCAGGCAATGCGATTGGCAGGGGATTACTCCTGGTAAATTTTTCTCTACACGATAGTTTTTTTTCTAAAGACGTTTATTGATTGCTTTTTTTGACTGAGTTTTGGTACTCTCTATTTCGCTGATTAAAAGGATTTGTACAAAAGAGGAAACGTGTAGCTTTTTCCAAAGAGGACGCTTGCTTTGAAGATTTCACAGAAAATCAACTGTTTTTGACAAAGAAAAAGCTTTCACTATAGTTTTCAAGGAGAAGTGGTCGTTTTCTCGCAGAGATAAAACTTTCTATAACTTGCGAATCATTTCTTCCTGATTTCTTCCCCCTCTCCTAAATAAAACTAAAAGAAAGTTCTGCTGATTCATACCGATGTCGCTTGTGACTAGAAAATTGTGGTCTTTTAAATGGGTATTTCATTCAATAAACTATAATTAGTTAGTATTGGACCGGGTGGGCTTGAAAAATACAAGGCCCGATCTGGATCAGGCCTAGCCTAAAAAATTTGCCCAATTTCGAGGCCCGATACAACCTACGCTCACTTACGCTACAAGTGCTGCAAGTTTCAGATCAAACAACCGTTCCTTTCGAAATGGGCCTAAGTGACTTGAAAACGTCTCTCGTCTTTTGCATGTCTGCATAATCCATTGGACAAATGATTAACCAACCTCCTGGCAACGTGTTTCTGTATAAAATTGTAATTCACAGTTCTAAACATACTGTTTTTCAAATATTCGATCGAAAATACGATATGCAGGTGCGCTCACGGGTGTAGCTAAAAAAATTTGAGTCGGAAACCGTCATAGAAAAGAGGTACTTTTTGTATTTCGAAAATGAATTTGTCCGTATCCACCCTATCCCTCGAAGCACTTGCATCTTACAGAGGGAGCTCGATTCCCCTAATCTTTCCCTCTCTCCTAAAATATATCCCTGGATACCCCGGTATCACATAAGTAATAAACATTAAAATACTCTTCATTCTGGCATCCTTAATCAAAGAATCCCAATCCTAAAATATAGTTGAATACTAGACCATACATCTCTTTAAGTCGTCAAGCATAGAGCATCGTCACTAAGTAAACGATCTGTAAAACACAGAATAAACCAAAATAGTGAAATGAACAAGATGAAGACAGTAAAGTGCGAGACTTCAGCAAAAAAAGGAAATCAGAATCGAGAGTCAAGTTAGAAGTAGTAAAAAACATACCTGAAAATTTAAGAATAGACGTCCCACTTTCAAGTGTTTATTCACTGTCTTTGTTTGAAAGTGTTTTTCTCGGAACTAAACAAAACGACGACGTAGAATGTTTTTACATGTTGTTATGAGAGAAAATCAGGTAGGAAAAATATTTTTCATCTTCAAAATGGATATGTAATTGCAGTTTTTCCAAGAAAATACATCATTTAGAAATTAAACATACTGCACGTTTAAAAAAAACGTGATGTAATTAGAAATACAATTTAGAGAATTGCTTTCAAACTCAACAATTATTCAGTATACGTACTTTTATAGTAATGAAAGTTCACTACTTAGTTAATATTGTTGACGCATTTATGTTGGGCATTCATTTTGATAATAGAAAAAAACTGAAAACAAAATGAATGTGTATGATTCACTTTGTTTGTTCAGCTGCTGGAATGTGTTTCTTGACGATTTTCTACTCTGTAGAAAAGAAATATTACGAGTTTTAACGAAGATGCTGAATTTATTAATGTTTTATTTTCTTTATCACTAAACCATTTCAACTAGATAATGCCTTTAAATGTTTAGAAATGATTAGAACTCAAGTGGCTTACTATCGTCGCTTTGTCTGAGCTATTTTACTCGGCAGTATCGTGAAGTTATTCTTCTGATGTAACTATAAATGAATAATAGTAATTACTTGGTCATTCTTGTGATTGATGAGTTAGTTGTAACTGAAATAATTCCTTAATATAGAATCTTATCTGCGAAAAATATAAGAGAACTCGTCGATTCACCATGAATTTTCGCAGATGAAAACAGCCATTGAATCCTTTTAACTGAAATAATGATCAGAGTTTTATATAAGACAGTGTATTTACTCCACATAACCGGCCTTTAAATATAAATATAATTTTTTTTAAAAAGGTATCATGGCAACAGCGACAACGGTATTTTCATTAAACTATTTAAGAGAGGATTGATTTTACAAGATTTAGAAAATTCAAACTCTCTCAAATCTACATATAATGAAGTCAAATTCAGGCTAACAAAAGACTTCAAAACGAAAAAATCGTCAATCAGTAGGGTGTTAACTGCTGTTCAATGACTTTTTCCAGATTCTAATAGTTGAAAAGACAAGAATGTTTCGCTCAATTGAAAAAAGTCTGAGCTCACTTTGTGACAGAATTTAATATTACTCATCCAAATAACTGTAGTTAAGGAAAAAATCCGAAGAGTCTGATTAAAGAATGACTCATCATTTATCAACTCGATCGAGTCTAAGTTGAGCTCGTTAGTTTTTGAGGTGATATATTGCTATGGAAATTGTAGATAATTTTAAAAAAATATTCAGTTCTGCCAGCAAAGGGAAAGCTTTTCAAGACTGGAAGCTATTATTCTTACTTTCCTCGTGTGTGATGGGTATTTTATTCGTTTCATACGTACACCGACATTCACACCCTCAAGATTATCCAAGCGATCGTCAATTTTTACCGGAAAATCTTCATAATATTCATGTATTAAAAAATGCACAGGCCGCGACAGGCGAAATAACATTCGAATATACCTACTTTATTTTTTATAAGACGAGCTTCTTCACCAATAAACCATTTCCTTAAATTAGAATGTATAATCAAAATTGAAGAATAGGATAATAAAGAATTTTAAAAATTCAACAAGTTTTTTTGAGTATATATCGTAGAATGATTAACAGTAGTATACTATTTTTATAGAAAATAAGTAGATCTGCTTTGATAGAAAGAACAAAATTGTTGCAAGAAACAATGTGTATACTATACAATAGTGAAATTTTTACATATCAATGTAGAATCGATTCAATATTAGCTTTCATAAATACACTTTTTTATGTTGATATACAACAAATAGACGCAGATAATATTTCAGCATTTTCATACAAGTCATATGTTTTTTATGAAACATAATTCTCTGTACGGATTAATGTTTTGCAGTTACACGTGACAAGCAAAAATATTTAAAATATTTTATATGCTAATGGATGGTCTAGAGTGAATTTGAAAATATTGTTTCTAACTGAATAGAATTCCATAAACTGTTTGATTATCGATCCTTCTCGTATCTATCGTTATGCAAAATACTTGAATTAATTTCAGGAAATCGTGAACAAGTAGTCAATATGATGAAATTAACTATGCAAGTGTCACTTAATATTGTAGAGTCTCACGAATATGTTGATAGAAGAGTGGATGTGGATATTATATTAGGAAGATGTTGTCTGTTGAAACACTCTCAGCATAAAACTTCTAAAACAATAGGATATGCATATGAAAAATCATAATTAAATTTTATGTGTTTGTTTTCGTGTTTTTTTCTCTTTCAGACGAAATATTATTCGTAAAAAATAACAGTTAATGTCATTTTCATTTATGCCAATAATCAGATTTAATCGTTCTGACACTGACTTTCATTGTTTATTATAAAAACATTCTTTTTTCTTTACATCGATAATGACGTTGTTCGCTATAAGGACAAAGGTATGGTAGAAGTGCATATAAGAAAAAAAAATAATCATTATATATTTTCAATAGAAATATTTCGAATATAATAAACAGGTAGAATGGTCTTGATATGCCAGTAGACTTATAAACGACTTAACGAACTACCAATTGATCATTAGATTCAACAGTAAATACGTGATATTCTAACTATGACTTCTCATGAGACTGTTCCTTCCTCATTATCGAATACTCCTACCACTGTTATATCATCAATTCATAGTAGTCAAGATTGTTTCAACCCAGTGATCTTAATGACATCGAATTCAATACGATCTGTATCTTCTAAGCGATCCACAAAGAAAAAATGTTCAATCAATCTTAGTCATAAAATTCGTAGAAGTTTCACCCGAAAGCCAAGACCACCCGTAGAACTTATTATGACTGATATGAGCTATCGACTACGTATGACCAAATTCTTAAATATTCGACTGTGATAATTTTCTTTCATAGTTCTTCTCTCTTTTTAAGACTTTTTCTCTTTTCTTGTAGTGCTTTAGTCAGTGATGGAATGTGTTTGTTTGGCATGTTGGGTATTATTCTCATGATCGTCGACAATGAATTAACCTTTAATCAAATCCATGATAATGATACTCGAACTACCTGGATTATTAAACCAATCATTAGTTTTACTACAATAATTCTTCTTGCTCTTATTTCCTATTATCATTATTTAGATCTGAGACTTTATGCCGTACAAAATAGTCTTCAAGATTACCGTGTTGGATTAACAAAAACTAAAGTATGTTTAATTGTACTTGAACTATTGATCTGTGCTATTCATCCTGTACCTCATTCATCTCCTCAATTAGAATCGGAGGAAGTAACTTTAGATTCTTCCGAATCTTATTCTTTCTCTTATACAGCTATTGATGTCGGATTAGGTTTACCTAGTGAGTATTTCTTCTTTATTTCTTTTGAAAATCATATTATTTATAAATAGTGTTTGCACGTTTGTATTTATTTGGTCGTTCAATTGTGTTTCATTCACATCTAGTTCGTAATATATCATTACGATCAATTAGTTATCTCAATCAAGTATCAATTAATTTTTTCTTTCTCATGAAAATTTATCTTCAACAATGGCCAACACGATGTTTGATGACATGTTGTACAATTATCTTTCTTATAGGAAGTTGGTCTTTACGAGCATGTAGTTATAAATCTACCGGAGAGCATCTCGCTATATTTGATGCAATGTGGTTATTTATCATTACATTTACCACTGTAGGTGAGTACTTTTCTATTAAGTAAAATTTAACTACAGAGTTTATTAGGATACGGTGATCTATATCCATCGAGTTATTGTGGACGAGGTAAATGATATATTTATATCGTATTTAAAGATCTAATTATATTGAATAGCAATCGCGACAATTATTGGTTTCATTGGTCTTTTATCATCTGCTCTACTCATATCGGTTCTTGCACAAAAACTGCTTCTAACTCGCGAAGAAAAATATGTACACACATTTGTATCCAATACAGAACTGGCGAAAGAACGTCAATATCAAGCAGCAAATATAGTTAAATTTGCCATAAAAGTCTGGTTTTTAAAACGACAAAATAAAGCACCATCTATTCGATGTATCCAAATACAGAAAAAATTATTTCAATCAATCTATCATTTGAAAGAAATTAAAAAACAACAAAGAAATTCAACGGATAATTGTATTGATCTGCATGAATTAGTAACGATACAACAAAATACAAATATGCAAATTGAGGAAACAGTACAACATATGACAGAGATCAAATGTGAAATGAACAAAATTCAAATAGAACTAAACAATATGATACTTAATATGAATAATTTACAAACGACACTAAATATCTTATTGAATAAATGACTTAATAACAAGATAGTTCACTTACGATTTTAGTCATCATATGGTGCATATTGATGAAAAAAATAGATCCACAATGACATTCACTCCCTAAATGTTTGTAGTGGGCGAAATCGCATATAGTTGATGGTTAAAGATTTAAAACACTAACTGATATTGGATACTTTATATGTATGTTATATTTTTGTAAATCTTGTTTTTCTTCTCAAAGTCGCAATTAAAGAGAGAAGCAAACGGAGAAAATCCCTAAAGTCCCTTGTTAATATTCATTTTAAATTAAATTGTGTCCTACATATATATATATACATATGTTTCAAATTTATTTGTTATTTACAGTCAACCTACATCGTCGAAGTCACAAGCTCAACTTTTATTCATTCTAAGATGTATATGATACTATCAATCATATTCGTGTGCCTTTTTCAAATTACATCAGGTACAGTATCTGATCTATTTACTTTGATAAACATTAATGCCATTGAGGTGTCCGGACAGAATGTCGCAGGACAAATCGTTGCGGACAAAATGTCGCAGACAAAACGTCGCAAAAATTCGTCGCATGGACAAAATGTCGCACGGACAAAATTTTGCAACGATAGGCTTTCGCACCACAGGGTGTAGGCTTCGGTAATAATGAGTGTAAGACCTTGGGTGAGGGTGAGGATAAGGATGTCACTAAAGATCATATAGGCTCATGATGGTACTCGCATGTAAAACTATGTTACATTCATATTCGTCCTGGTATATCGCCGTCCCCCTCACCTATGTCCACGCTTGCCGCCAGGTTAAACGCTTTCATGTAGGATTTGTTAGAATCCTGGTCTTATTGACAATCTCACGAGGCTGAAAATCTTTTGCTACAGGCTCTAGTTACTTTCGATAGCTCATCAACCTATTTGAAAAACTCCAACAGGATTTGATAGTCGGATCGCTTGTTGTAAACAACCACAACTACCATACATACGGGATAATAATGTATCTATAATATCATCTACTGATCAGAAGTCCTTTTTTATCAGAATATACGTTACACCGTTACTCTGCTGAGAAAGCCTATCGTTGCAAAATTTTGTCTATGCGACGTTTTGTCCGTGCGACCATTTGTCCGTGCGACGTTTTGTCCACGCGACGAATTTTTTGCGACGTTTTATCTGCGACATTTTGTCCGCGACGATATGTCCACGACCATTTGTCCTGCGACGATTTGTCCGCGACCATTTGTCTGCAACCATTTGTCTGCGACCATTTGTCCTGCGACATTCTGTCCTAGAGCCATGTATATACATTGTTGATGATATGAGAATTTATACAAATTTTCATTAAATGCTTTAAAGCAATGTTTATAGAATATTAATAACATTATATAAGTTTTAACGAAATATTACTATGGATATTTTATTACAAACTACTATACTCTATATATCTATCATCATAGACGGATATGCGATAAGACCTGAGGATGAACCAGAAAAAATGTGTGTTCGTCGTCTAGTAATAGTTTCGTATTGAGTAACTATATTTTGTATGGCTTCAATAGTTTCAGATGAGTTTTGTGCAAGTACAGCTACTGTTCCTCCTCCACCACCGCCTGTAATTTTAGCACCGAATAAAATTTTCGATGGTGATTTATGTTGTCGTATTAAATTCACGAGTAAATTTGTTTCTTCGCTATTAAGATCACAGGATCCATAACCAGCATCTGATTGAAACATTAATTCACCAAGATTAGAAAAAACATCCATAGATAAATGATGATCATTTTTTAATAATTGTTCAAATAATTGTACACGAAAATTTTCTTCAATTGGATGTGCCGTCGCTGCACGTAATGAATAGACTTCATCAGAATCTATTTTAGTCAATGGATCAAGGTGTGATGATGATTGAAAATCTCTACCAAACATTTTTTTCTGGTAATAACAATCGATATTGATTATTAAAATTTGAAAGAGTTATTTGACATAGATGATGAATATTATCAGGAAGATTCAATAACTGTTTACCCATAAAAGCAGCTGTTCGTACTCGTCGATAAGCTGAACTAGCTGTTGATCGTTTGACACCGGAGTCGATACCAAATAGCTGTATATTTGACGGTAATGTGATATTATGAAAAGGTGGATTTGGTAAATGTTGACAACGAAGTGAAAATAAATGATCAGCACATGCATGCACACATGTCATTTGATCCATAAATCCACATGAGCTACCAACAACATGATTCTCAACATACTGGCAAAGTAGAGCTAATTCTGTATTTGATATAATATGATCGACATTTAGACATGTACTTGCTACAAAACAAAACATTTTCTATAGTTATTCGAGATTTTAATTTACGTTTTTTGTATTACCTGCACGAGCAACAGCAACTTCAAGAGCAGCAGATGAAGCTACACCTTTATTACATGGTACATCAGAAATAATGACTACATTGAAACCGATGGGAGTATTGGTAGGATTTGTTTTATTTATCAACTCAGCTAAAATACCCAGGATGTAACTGGGCCAATTTGTTGGTTCATCATTTGAAAGTACAGTATCTTGATGTTGATTGTACCAAGTTTCTAATCGTTCTCGTAATGTTTGATCATGACTCCGGAGTAAATTCATTGGAATTTCACGTTCCCATACGGTTAAGTTATTTTGATTGATTGAATTACATTCGATACTATCTGTTTGAATACTCATCATACGAATTGTGTCGATATTGGAAATTTGAATAAAAGCGTGAGTACGTTGTGCAATTGGAAATTGAAGTACATGAGAACCTGAATAATCAGCAAAACCTAAATAGAAATACAGAAATTATTGTATCAAATGCAATTCTTTTTATCAAACCTCCCATTACATCTAAACGACCAGGAGCACTAGCACTATATATTGGTGTCTTTGAAACCGAGAATAATGTGCGTACTTTATCGATCTGTTGTACTAATGACCATACGTTGGAAATCGAAGAATTTTCTTGTACTTTTTGTTTTTTCTCAACAGCAAATGCACGAAATGTTCGATAATATTCTTTCGGAGTGCCAATATCATATCGATGACCATCTAATAAACAACCATATAATTGTCCATTCTCTCGAAGATTATTCATTGCTTCACGTAAACCAAGTTCTACTGATTTCTTTTCCTGTGCTAATTTTTGTTCATGTTGTCGAAGCTCATGAAAAATTGTCGGCGGAAGAATATCAATACCAGCTTGACATAAAAAATGATTGTTTAATATTCCAGATTGAAAACGATTAACTGCCAGTTCTATAGAAGGCTTTTCTATCATATCAGTAATTTCGAAAAATTGTTTATTTTTCATATCTGTATTTGATTGCAATAGACCAGTTGCACAAACTTCTTCAGATGTACATGTCATAATACCTGCAAGACCAATACGAGATGGATCGGAAACATTTTGTCGATATGCATTAAGTAATTGTTGTAAACATGATTGATTATTATTCGATTGATAAAGATGATCACTCAACATAATAACAAACGGTTCATTATCGATATATTGTTCTGTTTGAAGAACAGCATGACCAAATCCTTTAGGTGATTGTTGTACAATATAATCGATTTTTTGCTGAGGATATGTCGAAAAATAAGATTGAAATAAATGTAATTGTTCAGGTGCAATAACAAATAACACTTGTTCAATATTTGTTTCTTTCGCAAAGATTTCTTCAAGAAGAAGATCGAGTACTGGACGACATTTCCATATAGAGGAAGTTGATTGTGTAATAGGTAACAGAACTTTTGGTAAAATTGTACTCTGAGGACGCATTCGCATTCCAAGGCCAGCCGTTGGAAGAACGACTTTACGAACAATTGTTTTGCTACAACTATTTAATGATGTTGGTATACGCGTATTGATACTATCTTTTTTTAATAGAGTGATTGTATGACCTGAAAATGATGTACGTGACTGAACAGACCAGTCAGTTGTTGTAAATAAATAATTCCATTCTTGTCGAGTTCGTTCTTTAGCTCCTTGCAATAAAAACATATGTAATGATAGAAGAGCATGTTGATTAATATTTAAATCAACTTCACGTTCAATTACACAGAGATATTTCGATGGAATACGATTTAAAATTATTTTTACTTTCTCATCTGGCCAATCATGAAGTACACGTGATAGAAGATACAAATCAGCTGAAGGTAACGAACCAGAAAATAAATCTCCACTTTGAAACTCAATTTTCGGATGTGGTACTGCTAAGCGAATAACTTCAGGACGATCAATACAGATTAAATGTTGACTTAAACAATACTTAGATAATTCAGATAACAATGCACCTACTCCTCCACCAAGATCAACAATACTGGACGATTGAAATAGTTCAATAGGACATGCAGAGGAAATTCCTTTCCAATCTTGACGTGCATAAGAATTAAGAACTCTTTGTGATAAAGCAACAAGTTCAGGATTATTGGCAATATCAGAAAAGGTATCTTTATTCGAATGTAGCTTATTTTGATGTTTTAATATCGGTAACCACGTTGAAATATATCGATCTTGTAACCAATAAAGAGCACGATCACGAGTAATACTATTCAAATCAAAAAGTAAATGACCTCGTTCCGTAATTTGATAATTTCCATCTATAGTTGATGATTTAATAAAACCTAGTTCATTCCACACTTGTCGAATCTGTTCTCGTAATTGATTATTATCATTATTTGATTTCTTTTCATCATTCAATAAATTAATGTTTTGTTCTAAACCTAGCTTAAGTGCAAACGATGGCCAATAAGCTTTTGCCATCTGTAAAAAAAAGACATTTAGGAAAAAATCTTCACATAAAACAATTAACCTGTTCAATATCAGCATGATTTTCATCATTACAACTATGTAATGTAGCTAATATTTGATGTTGTTCATCAATAATACATCTTGATCCGTCATGTAACAATTGAACAAGTGCTTGACCATTATAGAAGTTCTCAATTTGACGATAACGACGACCTTGTCCAATATCAATACCATTACGATCAATGAAAAACCAACCATTTTCATCTCGTGCTCGTGCTAAACCTTTATGATAAACATCAAGATCGAAAAAACTTGTTTTGTTAGACGATGATGATGATGACGAATGAAGGAAATCACCATTTTCATCTATAGCACGGAACAGACCATCGATTGAACTACGAATAACAGCACTACCCTAATAATAAAAGCGAATGAAATACTAGTTAAAAAAATATTTTACTTCTCGAAAATCACCAGCATATGAATGTGGACCTGAGATAATTCGTCCTGTAGGATCAATATGATAATATTTTAAACTAAAATCTCGTACAGGACATCGGTATGATTGAAAATTACCACACCACTGCCATATAGACTTATATGCAGAAGAACCTTGAGGTGTAATATGATACCACTGATCACTATTCTAAGAATATTTTTATGAATTTTATGCATGATTCTGACTTTTTACCAACCTGCACAGCAGCGAGTTTTTGATAAAAACCAAATGTTCGAGTAAATCTTTGACAATAGGCACTTTCTCCGAGATCATTTATATGAAATGCTGCATTTGTTTGATCAATCACTGGCGCTAAACCAGGTGAATGAAACGGTAAAATAGCCTTAAATCGATGGTGATAAAGTGGTTGTTGAGTATTTAAACAAATATGATATGTACCACATGATGAAACCTTAGAATACGTCCATTTCTGTCGAGCAATAATATGTTTGGATAAAGTTAACTGTTGATAACGATTAATGAACATCTAGAATTAATATTAATAGGGAAAAAGGATACCAAAAAATTATATTTATTTATTTTCAATAGGTGGTTTTCTCATGTTACAATTTTGACAAAGAGGATATTGTGTATAATTAGTAATTAAATTGTTATATGTTTTACCAGTCCAGATTTTCATTAGATTTTCATCAGAATTTTGTACATTACCAAATGTACCTAATGACAATCGATCTTGATCAGGTGCACAGCAAGGATCGAATCGACCACTATGATTAATCCATGCTTCTTTACCTAAAAACGGGCATACACTTTGTGGATGAATCGTTGATGAACCACTATTTTCATCCAATTCAAAGAAATTTTCAAGTTTAATCTAGAAAATTACATAAAATAAAATGAATGAATTCAATTCAGTTGTAAAAAATCTTACTTGTTTTCCTGTTGATAATAAATATTGACGTGCTAGATTTTGACATTCAATAACACATTGATTCCAACGACGAATAGCTTCAACTGATCGACGTAAGTTTTGATCTTTTATTTCTTTAAAATGAGCCCATAAATGATGACCTTTTATGCGATCCACACCAAGTGATATTCCCAACTTGACAATCTATATAGTCATGAAAGTTAGAGAACTTGCAAATATACAATTACTAATGAATTTGATCGATATCGTTCTACACAATAACTGATTAGCTGAAGTTTAATCTTCAAAAATCTTTCTTTCATATTTATCGGATATGTCCTCCTCTCACTCAAAGATTTATTATAACAGGTAATTCCACTGTAAGATTTTATTACCTCAGGAATTTCTTGTAGATTGATTTCCATAAAAGTCAATTGTAGTGTCACTGTAGCTCGATTACCACCTTGTTCTGATAATTTATCACGCATTTGAATAAATTGAGTAATATTCTTGATCTATAAAGATATACAAATAAAATATTTATATGAAAAAAGTTATGAACTTGTTTATCGAGTTTCGAATGTTTCATAACTAATTCTTGAGTCTTTTTTGTCATTCCATTCCAAGAAAATTTCACATCACTTAAAACTGGCATAAGTAATTGAGCCCATTCTGTCACTGAATGACCTTGTGGAGAATGAAATGACCCATTTGTTGTAAGATTTAACTTGATATTATAATCTCGACATAATTTTATTATATCTTCAAATGTACGACCTTTTGTATCACGATACATAAGTGGTTCACCCATCGTTGATGGAATCTAGATATGCATATACGAAATATTTTATAGTAGAGAAAATGAATAAGAAATCTTACGATTTCTTGTAATCCGAGTGGTGCTGCTTCGGCAACGACTCGTTTGATAATATCAAAATCCATTCTACGACGTCGAATTTTTGCTTCTTTACGTGCTTTCTGATGTGGAGAATATTCTGAATGTTGTTCACACATGATACAACTAAAATTACAATCATCTGGATTCGTATCGAATGTTATTCGACGTGGTGCTGATAATGGTTCAATTGGTTTTGGTTGAAGATTTATTGATTCTTCAATTTGATTATTTGTTAATGAAGAATATAAATTAATCAATTCATCAACATGTGATTCAATCGATGGTACCTGTCCATCGTTCGAATAAAGATAACCATGTTCACCTAATTGATTAAGCATATTCGGTTTTTGAATAATTCGAAGTAAAGTTTGTGCAAGTGATGATGCATCACGATGCAAAAAAGTCAATCCATTAACTCCATCTTGTACTAATTCACTCTAAATTAAATAGAAAAATTTCGAAAATAAATCACGTCTTCATATTCCTACCATTCCACCTCGATTAGCAGTAATAACAGGTACACGACATTGTTGTGCTTCATGAATAACTAAAGGAGAATTTTCATCCCAAATTGAAGGAACTACAATACAATCTACATGATTAAAAACGTGCTCGACAATTTTCGAATTTTTATATTCATCACGCCATTCCACAGAAATACCGGCTGTTCTTGCCATTTCTTGAAGATTACTGGTTGTTGTAGAATCTGGTCGCCCATAAATAGCAAGACGAAATTGATTCGCAAATTTCGGTTCTGATCGAACGATTTGTTGTGCAGCTTCTATTAATAAATTAATACCTTTTGATGCTGAATGTCGACCAATATAACCAAAAATAATAGGTTCATTGACTTCACGAACACGCTGACGATTGACTAACATCGATCGATCAAAACCATACGGTAAAAATTTGATTTTTTCAGATGGAAGATGAAATTCATCGATAAATCGTTTCTGTAAATAATGTGATGGTGCAATGAACATATCAATTGCATCACATGTTTCGCGTACTGCACGCATTCGTTCACTAATCCACCATGTCCAATATTCCATTTCACGATCTTTATTTGCTGATGTTCCTACAATCAAAATATAGAAAGATTTCTGTACAATCAAAATTTCATACCCGAACTAAAACGTGATGAGAAACATTTCGATGCACACTTCTCATCTTTTTGTTCGATGCATAATTCATAAGGTTTTTGATTAGTAAATGCTGAAGCAGCACCATTAATTAAAAATTGACCGCGTGGACACATAAGCCAATAATCATGTAATGTATAAACAATCTTTGCACCTAGAATATCTCGCGCACGTTGTGGTAATGTTAATGATAAATGATTTAAATGTCCAAAATGAACAATATTTGGTTTTGGATGAAGTTTTCGACAAATGTCTTCAAAACAACGATCAATATCCGTATTAACAAATCGTTGATATGCTGCTTCTCGTGCATGATTAATCAAATGAACTGGTATAGTAGAATCATGTTCATCATGAGTTTGTCGAACAAGGAAATCAGCACGAAATAGATCTTGTTCACGTGAAATAACTGACACTCCTGATGTCTTTCCAGATCGATTTAAACGTACAGCTAATGTTTGAGTATAAACCTATATTTAACATACCTTTTGAATTTACAAAGCAAGAAAAAAAAATCAAATTTATACTTCTGAACCTGCATTGAATAATGGTGGATAACCATGATTAACTAGTAAAACTGATGGTTTTCTAGTCGATGAAGTGGAAAAAAGTGCATGTTGTATTTTGCTATATTTGCTGAAGAAACGCATTATGATGTGCAGTCGAATCGTGTGTGTTCTCTAGACAGAAAATATATAAAATGAGACGTCTCTCATTATCGCCAGAAAAAAGAAGGCGACGCATTTGAAGTCGTAGACTAAAAAATACTTATATATTTAGTCCAGGTAGTTTCTTGCTGTTCTGCTTCTGTTAAATGCAGTTATTTGATCAAGAAACTTGAAATGCTTAGTTTTCATCAAGATAGAAGAACGAAGAAAATTTTCCTATTATATTTTATTATGTTTCTCTTACAAACTTGATTATGGTAAAAAAATTGTTTGTTACCTCAAAGTCGTATTATTTACCACATAGAGAAAAAAGTGTAGTATTCTTATCAGAGATGTCCATGGCGGCGCTGCCGCTACCGCCGCGGCGGGCACGGCGCGGCAGTGGTAGTCTATTTTCTTTACCGTCTCGGGCGCGGTAGCTTTTTTTAAAAACCGTCGCGGTGCGGCAGCGTCACATTCTTAACCGCGCTGGACATCGCTGATTCTTATTATTAATAATGAAAATAACTATAGATGAGTAACAAAAAAATATATTATAAGATGGACGTGGATGATTTATGCTGCAGAAAATTGGAATTTTTTTTGTTATCGAAACTACCAATTTATTTATACAAAAGAATTTTGATTTTAAAACAATGAAATTAAAAAAGAAAATACAATTTACATAGACTATCACATAATGAAAAAATATTTGAACTAGCGAGGAAGTACTAAAGGGATTGAGGGTATGGGTGTAGATGTGAAATTGCAATATACAACTAACACCCGTCTATATCCACACCCACACCCACACCCTCACTTTGTAATTGACGACGTGCCAATAACTTCTCTAATCATTGTTTGACTAATATTTTGTATGTTAAGTTCAGGTGGGATGTAGATGGTGTGGGTATTATATATTGATATTGTATCCACAATACACCCGTACCCTCAAGATGGTTGTTAATCATTAAGGTTCGATTGTTCAAAACAAGTTAAATATTATTTTTGTGAATTTTTATGTCCTTTATAAAACTCTGAACAAATGACTTGTACTAATGGATGTCAATTGAATGAGAAACGACGTTCATTTACGAATGTTATCGAACTAGTAAAAAATAATGTTAAAGATGAAATTTATTCTACAGTTAAGCGATATTTAAATTTAATTAATGAATACACTAATTGTTCAAGTGATCTTTTACCATGTGATATTTTACTAAATGATTCTATTTATCAACGTTTACAAATAAAAAAAATAACCATTCTTTTGCATACGGATGGTGCACCTGTTACCAAAACTGGTGGTAAATCACTATAGCCAGTGCAAGCTACTATTGCCGAGCGTCTACCTCCTGTTCGTGATTATGTTAATGCTACTATGATATTTGCTGTGTGAATAGGTGGATCCTCCTCTTATACTCACGACAACACACACGCTCTATTTTGAAGGTCATGTACAATATGATATTTCATTCCAAATAAAATACCAATTAGGAATCATCCAATACATTATGGGGCATACATCCATGAAAGTCATTATCTAACATTGCACATTCAATGCAAGATAGCACATTACAAAGTTGTCATTTACGCAAAAATGGCTATTGATACCAATGACGTACATCTTGCGTTATTTTTGGCGAAATTATGGACGATAAACTGTGCTATTTAGTATCTAATCGTTTTTTTTCTTTTTAGAAAAACCGATTGGCATTTGATTTGGCTCGAAAAAATTTTCAATTGGAAGGATTAGTGAAGCAGACGCTAGCATATCCCGGAACGATGATTCCTGACGCAGTATTCCGTCAATTTTCGGCAGGAACCGAACGCATTTGACCGTTTCCGTGCTAGATTATTTGACATTGGATTTGATGATACCCGGGCAGACGCTGCATCATCTCATGGCTTTGGACAACGACATTTAGATTTATTGCGTCCAATGACAGACTTATTTGCTGTTTATTTTGTTTCTCTCACTGCGTTTATCCCGATAATAAACATTATTATATAAGCTAATTATTCAAACATGAAATATTTAATAAGGAAAAGATCTTTATTGAACATTATTTGATGTTAAAAAATAATGTTGATAACGATGACGATGTCGAACATATGAATCTGTTATAGCTGCTGCATAATATGTAAAAATAGCAATTGTAAGAATATTTTTGACAACAAAAAATAAGTTTTCAAGTGTACTCGCATCAAATTTAACGACAACGGCAATACGTAAACCAAGTAAAAGACCATCCTCAGTTGCCATTTGTGCTAAAATACCCCAAATTTCAGTACCAAATAAAAAATCTATTATAATAAGAAAACGTTCTTCAAGTTTTGCATTTGACCAAACAATTGTATCATATATATGATCATGTTTTCGTTTACCAGATAGATTAACACTGAATTGTGAGAGAGATATAAAATATGCAGCTAAAACAATAAGAAAAAGTTTTAAAAATTAAATGAATATTTTTTCAAACAAACCAATAATAGCTTTCATCATATTCTTATTTTTATTTTCAATTAATTGTTCACTTTGTCCAACCATTGTCGAAGAAAAACTATGAAAAAAGTTTTTTAGTCTTCAAAAATAATATTTCATTTAACTATTTTACTCGACAATATCAGAAGCAGTTGAAATAAAATATGTAATCAACTGATCAAGACCCAAATTACCAGTTATCATCCTTATCATAGAATATAAATCTTCTTTCAAAAGATTTTAATTTTTCATTTACCAACGTAGACAAATTGTAGCGAGTACTACAACTTGTTCTAGCATTTCATCAGGCATCTGTTTCATTAAACATATACCATAAACACACCAATCATCAGCATTTATTTCTTCTATTCGATCACATGTACTATTATTTATTTCAACTGTTGATTTTGCTTGATTCATTGATACTGTTTCAAATTCCATTAGATGAAGTTGTTGTTTTTCTTTTAAATCCCAACATTTACTAACATAAGATTCTAAATTAAGATTTGCATGTTTAGCTTGTAGTTTAGAATCTTTTACAGATTGTACAAAATATGCATAACGTAAAACCCATAAGGGAGGCATTGTAACTATAAATTAAATAAATATATTTTATTTATTTATTTTATTAATTTACATGTAATAAATATGGCTACACCTGTATTAATCCAGAAATATTCAACAATTTTTCTATGTACATAGATTTTCAATAAAATAATCCACCAATCAATAATAAGATATATTAAACCAATATAACAAAAATTTGATAATATCCATAATTGTTGTTTTTCACACATAGCTCGAATATAACAAATTATAAGTAACGTAGACATAATAATACGTGCAAAACCATTACGTATAATAAAAATAATTAATTCATCTGTTCTATACATTTATGCAAAATAAAATATGTCAATGATTTTGCGCTTTTTGTTTCTATATGAAAATTTTTGAAATCAAAGTGTTTATAATATTTTTATTTAATAATTCAATCAATGACTGTTACATATCATAGAAATAAAAAGCAAAGCAATATCTACATAGAAAAAAGAAAAAGAGGAAAGAAATTTATCTGACTAAATAGCTTTATAATAAATTCATTATTAATTATTCATAATCGATGATCTTGTTTATTTGCTCTTATAGCTGCTTTTCGTTTAACTGATTTAACTGTAATACGTTCTGGTATTTGTTTTTTTAATGTTCGGCGATATTTTTCACAAGCTAAATCAAATGTTATTGCAAATTGATTTGAATGATCTGTTTCAAGTTTTTGTCGAATAAATAATTCAAAGATTTGTGTACGAGTAAACCATTCTAAAAATAATTCAATTGTATGTTGTTTCGATTGAATAAAATGTTCAATATCGAATATGTGATTTAAATAATCTTTATAATTATAACATGATTGAATAAATATAGACATAAAAATATTTCGTAAACGTTGTTGACATTCATCCAGTGAAAGATTTTGTTTATGTTTTCGTAAAAATGATATTTCTTGTTTAAGTTCAATTTTAAAAATTTTTGGAAGAATTTGAAATTTTGAATGGGTTTTATTATTTAGATTATCAATCGATCCACGAGATGAGTCATTTGATAAATAATCATTTATTGAATAAATATGATCATGATCAATATCAACGATAAGTATATCAGAATTATCTTGAGATAAAAATTCATCATTGTCACATAAATAATGTTCACATGAACGTAAAATACCAATTATATATGGTGTTGGTGCTTGAAGAATATCAAGCATTAATGCTGGTAATATAGGAACATAAGTATGTGGCCATGAAAATGGATAGAGAAGACAAATAAATGTATTTATTAAACGTGTTAACGGACCAAGTTCATTAGCAATAAAAATTAGTTTTTGTTCGTATAAAATTGAAGAGAAAATTTTGATAATTGTATCTGTTGATAAACTAAGTAAATTAATTGAATCAATTAATTGTTTTCGTCGATCATAATCACATTTAAGTGTATATAATCCAACTGTTGTTGTATGTATATGTATTGTATCACCACGATTTGGTAAACGATGTGGATAAATTTCTTTTAAAAATCTTTTTGCATCTTCTTCTTTATATGAAAGAAATAATTCGGTTGCTGTTGATAATATTTTTTCATATAAATCCAACATATCACATGGTGATACAATACATAATGCATTCAATATACCTTTATGAGTAAAACGTGAACAATAGCCATGTTGTCGTACTCCACGCATATCTGTTAATGTAAAACGAAAATATTCTGGTTTCGATGTTTTTGATGATAGAAATGTATTATGATTATTATTTGAATCATGTTGATCTGGAAAACAGAAATATTTTAATGATAATTCAGTATTTGCATCTAATGGATATTGAAAACGAATAGATGTTGATGTATGAATTTGATGATTTATATTTAAATTCGATAATGAAAGACAACCATTTCCATTTGCAAAATAACCTAGTTCTTGTTCAGGTAAAATATGTACAACATAATCATATAGAGTTTTTAATTCACGTGACGCTGTTGAATGACTTGGCTCAGTAAAGAGACTTGTCATATGACTACCGGTACCTAAATAAAATCATATGAATTGGTTTTAGCATTTCAATCAAATGTCAATAGAAAATAAGATACATACCTAAACTATCATATACATTTTTCACGCGACTAACATGATCAAGTCTTGATATTCGAATATCATCATTATTTTCTGATGTTGTACTAGCTGAATCATCACTATCGATTGTCATTACATTACTATCATTTAATGATTGTTTTGATAAAGATAATGGAAGAATACGTTTAAAACGATTAATAAGTCCACGTGGTGAAAAAAATGATGATGATTTTGTTTTAGCAAGATTTGGTTCACTAATACCTTTCTTCATTGCAGATTTTATATTTGTAAATGGATGATTTTGTTTTGGTTTTGTTATTGATGTACGAATACCTAAATCACTTTGTACTGGTTTCATTGTTTGTGATTTTTTACTATTATTATATAAAAATTGTTGACCATCTTGTTTATTAAATGTTGATACAGGTGTTTTTAATTCTTCATAAATATTTTCATGTGGTATAAAATTATTTGTATTATCTATTGATTTATTTAATGGTAAAAGACCACTTGATAGTAAAGCATTTGAAACACCTACAGTTAAATCCATACAACTAGCTGAACGAGCACCTAGATCAAATGTAGGTGAATCACTACTTGATGATGAAGATGATGGTACTTTCTGATCAATTGTTTGTGATAAATAATCATAACGATTTTCATGTTGAAATGTTCTTGGTGGTTTTCTTGGTGGTGAATGTTGTTGAAATAATGGATTTTCAACAATGGGTAATGGACTATCTTCTCTTTCATTCGTTTGTTTTTTAACAACAACTGGACTAGGAGTAGATGATCCTCCTTGTTGAATTTGAAAACCTGTTGAACTTGTTGAACGTAATGTATGTTTTCTTCTTAAAGATAAACATTTTTCTGCACTATCATCATTCAATTGAAGTTTTTCATTAGTTGAATTATTACTATCAGGAAATGAAGTCGTTTGAACAATAAATTTTGTAGATGATGTCGATGAAGTTGATGATATTGATGGTGAATTAAGTACAGGTGGATTACGAATTGATGTATGACGAATAACAGATACTGGACGACGTTCAAAAGTTGATGTAGGTGAATGATTTATTTTAACACGTGAACGACTTATTGATGAAGGACTATCAAAAACATCATCACTTGAATATGAATTAGCTATAGTTATCGGAGTACCTAATTCAGATTCATATAATATCTAGAAAAAAAAGATTGAATAGGAAATTTAAACTAATATTTTATTTATACCCAAGGATTTAATCGTTGTCGTTCATCACTTGATGTTGAAAGATCATTACTATGACTTGTTATTAGAGAATGTCGTTTTGATAGCATTGAAGGTGAAGAATTAGAATCATAACCAGTTGACGATAGAGATGCTGATGATTGAAGACGTTTTGATGATGGAAATAATTCATTCGTAGAATCGTATATTATCGACGGGGTTTGTTTTATTGGATTAAATGTCGTTTTAACAAGAACTGGTTTAGCATGAACAGCTAATGTACGTTGTAAACTTGAAACATATTGACGTGTACTACCTATACGATTGAATTGATTTGGCCTTGGCGAAGATTCAAAACTATCAGGATAATTAACAGCGGCAGCCATTGCTAATTGACGACGTTGTTTCGACGTCAATACAGACTTTTCGGAATCGATGGGAAATAGAAATTGTTGTGGTAGTGATGTTGTAGATGAATGTGTGTCTAAAATATGAAATAGAATTTTATGACTTGCTTACATGTATGTGTTACTGAATAAAAACTCGACAAGAAAAAAAAGAATAAACGAGAAGGATGAGTTGAAATATGTGTAGGTGGAAGAATGACTAATGAAGTATCAATGTTGCTTACCAACCAGATTGGACTCATGGCCTTTGCCATTCTTCTTCTTCTTCTTTTCGATTCTCTATTATCTCGAAACATTCGAATGTTTATTCTTCTCCATCTTTCTTCGACTTTTTTATTTCGATATTCATCATGATGAATCTAACGACTCGAATTTCGTATAAAATCGATAGGAAAAAAAATGTCGACCTTCTATATCTCTTTTGTCTTGTTGTTTTCTCTTTTTTTTTACAATTTTTATTTTCTTTTTTCGTATTGATCCCTGATGATTTATGAAACGAGATAAAACATGTCTCTGACATTCAATCAGATGATTGCATTTGTTTTTTAAAATAAATGTTTTTTTACCTGTAGATAAATGATTTTCAATTGGTTTAGATAAAGAATGTTGAAATGATTTATTTACAAATTCAGAATGAAATAATGGATAATCGGATAGATAATTTTCTTCAAATGATTTATCGTTTTCAATAATAATATCATCAATATTTGTTGTATGTTGTAATTTTTCATCATCAGTTACAGGTAATTTAAGTACATTATAGGACGAAGAAGATTGTTGTTGTTGTTGTTGTTTTGATTGATGTCGTTCATAAATTGTTGATAGAGGTTTTTTTGAACATGATTGTTTATCAAACATTTGTCGAATTTGTTGAAAATGTCCTTTTGGTAAACATCGTACACTTTCACGTATAATTGTACCTGAACGTACAAGATGACCATCGGATTCATTTTGCGTGTGCATTCTATTCACTAGAAAAATCAAAATAGATTAACATTTATCTTGTGTGAAAAATCATGAGACATTTATAGCCTTCAGGCTGTTTTATGCATACATATACTCATTTGAAATTAAGAAAGAAGAAAAGCTTAGAACTTCAATTATTAGCGGAAGATATCTATATCAGCTCAAAAATCTCTCGTTCGATTAATTCATACAGACGTGTCGTTAAGATGTTTAGATGAATAAACTAGCTAAATATTATTCTACCTTGAACATTTATAATCGCTTCTATGTCTTTTATCTTTTGTGTATAAAGGGAAAGTGAATATAAAAAAAAAAAAGGACAGACATACGAATATTTTTTTTATAATATGCCTATTCATAAATAATTATTTTTCTCCATCTATTTACTAATCAATGATGAAAAAAGTCAAGAATCTACTTGAAAGAAAAAAGATTTATGCAGGAAATCAAGGTTACATTCAATATAAATTCAGAATATTAAAAAAGCTTACTTGTCACTCAATCGTTTTTATTGAATAACTAAAAACGACTGCTTACTTATACATATATATATGTGTACATATAATAACTAATGATATTAAAGGGAGAAGAAAAAAATATTTATAATCAAACATTGACTCTGACTAGTCGATTGAGGTTTACTTTTCAATGACACAAATAATGAAATAGCATTGTCATCATCATCTAATCTCAGGAGTGAACATCTAGTATTCATATTTTGTTTTTTTTCCTCTATCGAATATATAAGCAAGAAGAATGAAGAAAAGGTCAATTCGTTTCGTATAAGATACATAGGAGTTGTATTGTTTGACGAACAAATTAAACATACAGACGGACAAAACGAAGAATAACACATTAAAGGTGCGACCTTGAAAATACAGATATACAATTGGGATAAAGCTGGTCAAAAAAAAAGAAACCTAAACTAACAAATAACGTTTATAATACCAATGGTCTGTCTAGTCATTCAATGCTTATCTTAAGAGAGAGAGAGAAGAAAAAAAATGTTATCGCATACTTTTAAATTTCACTGAAGTTCAATCTTCTTCTTCTTTTTTCTTTCCAATTAACAGAAGAAAAAAAAGAAAGACAAATGACCTTCTTTTGTAAGCTAAGCCGACACGCAATTTACTAGATTTTATTTCATAACTATTCGATGAAAAAAGAAAAGAAACTAAGAATAAAGATTTACTCATTGTAATGTTTTATGTTACTCTTACCTGATGTCATTTATCAATTGGATAAATAAGGTAATCGTACGATTCTCTTTTTTTTTATGAGTCTACTTGCTGATGCTGTTGTTGTTATTGATAATGATTTTTTTTCAATTGAAATTCTTATGTATATGAATTCATACATACAAGACGTGTCTGTTCAAGTAACGAACATTTCATGCTGAGTTTTTTTTTGTTAATTATAACACGTTGTGAGTAGTTTTGTATGAGATGTAATGATGCAATAATCTAGAATATACAATACGTGTACACATATTCTAGGATTAAACATGTCTGTTGAGAAAAAGAAGATGTTGATAATGATTTTTAATACTTAAATTATGAATGATTTCTTTTCTTTATACTTCTTATAAAATAAATCTATGTATACATACAGCATCAATGTCAAAAATGTATGTACTACACACCATCTCTCTTTTCTTTTCGTTCTGTTTTCAGTTATATACATTCATCAATTTTTGTGTTGTGCGTGTTTGAAACAATTAAGAATGAAAGCAAAAGAAAAATGAATTCCAACATTAGAGAAGGTCAAAAGTTCGTTTCAGTCACTACAGAAACAAAAATACTTCACATTTGCTCTCGATCTACCTTTTTGTTCGTAGATGTTGATATTATTTCTTTCACTTTTATTATCATATAATACAGGTGATCAATTCTAATTTATATAACACAGCTGTAAGACTCTATCCTGCTGTGATAATTAGAAATCTGTTGAGACAAAAAGGAGTGATATATACAAGAGGATGAGAAGTTGTTAAATAAAATGTTCTCACTTGAAAAAAGAAAGGATGAAAATTGTAAGAATTTATTTACATAAATGTTAAGCAGGTGTTACAATTTGTCGCCGATGAATATAAAATAAATGTTCAAGGATAAAAACTATATGTGACAATCATAGAACAAGGTCATTAGCAAGGAAAAAGAAAAAGTATATATTAATAATATTAATCAAAAAAACTTTTTAACAGCTTTAACTTCAATGAGAAGGAAGTGACGAGATGTCAATTTTTTTTCTGCGCGTACAAAAAAAAAGAATCGTTTATATTACATTGCAATTCTATTGATATTATATCATATCAAAAGAATATGTCAATATACATTATTATAAATCATTAATAATCGATTGAATAATATCCTATAATTATTTTCTTTATTATAGAATAGTATCGAATTCAAATAATTATAGGAGTTACGACATAATCGAAAACAGTTCAATATGAAATCATAGAGTATATCAAAAATTATCCATGAATATTTGTATGATTGATAGATTAGAAAATTGAAAAGACACTTTATTAATGTAAGATACATTCATTGATTTCAAAGTATAGAAATAAATCATACTGTATATCATGAACAATAAATTGACATTGACAAATATTTTGAAAACGTATACTTCCGGAGTTAAAAAATCCTGAGATTTTTTTCTTTATATTATAACTGAATATATATTCATGATTACTCATCGATTTTATAATCTAACGGATGACTCACAGTCATCGAAAAACAACCTTTTATTATTCAAGAAAAAAATTGTTATTTTCGGACGTATTCAATCATAAAGATTTTATAACTTGTGTGTCATATATGAATAAAGAAACCCTATATTGACAATATATTCTATACAAAATTGATTAAATCGTATCAGAACAAACATTTTACTGTATTTAGTCACGTGACACTTGAATTTAATCGAATAAATATGATGATATCGTTCTGTTTTATTCATACGTGCACGTATTCATATGTAAAAGCTTTCCGAGAATAACAATCGTCAAGAGATAGTAATCTTTATTCGATGATTGAAAAATAATTTCAGTTATAATATTTGATCTCTTATAATGAATTTTCATTTTAGCTAATCAGTAATTCTAATATTCTGCATTTTTTTACGCCTATTTAATATTATTGAATGATTTTACAGCACAATTTGCTAATGTAATTCAAATAAAAAAATATATTTCGTAGTACTCTACAGGTACGATTAAATTTGATGTCAATAAAATGCAATAACTTCTAATGAAGTTTGATAGTGTTGAATGGATTCACTTATTTTCCTTTTATATACAATAAATACTCTTGATTTGAAGCCATAAAAAAGTTCGTTTTTATGATATGTTATAAGAATGAAAATTTTCAGATTTTTTACAGCATTATTATAGATAAATAGCTTTTTTATTTGAATTTATTTTTTTTCATAAATATTCTTCGTCAATATGAATGAGTGAAGTACGAATGATACCTTCTCGTATATTAACATTCGCTGATACTGTTGGAATAAAATCATCTAAAATATTTTGATTACATAGTGGACAACTTTGATGCGCTAATAACCATGGATCAATACATGCAACATGAAAATAATGTGAACATTCTTAAAAGAAGAAAAAGGTTATTTTAAAACATATATCTATCTATAAACTTACTAAGTTTTCGAAGTTGTTCATTATCAATAAATGGTTCTAAGCAAATAGCACACATTGGATCATCATCAGTAATTTCATTATTTTTTGTATCAAATATAATAATTGGTGATTTATCAAGTATTTCTTGGACTGAACGTGCAAGTGCCTGTTGAACTTTGGTTTTTTTTCGTTCATATTTCATTCGACGACAATATAATACAAAAAACCATATAACACAAATAAGAAATGTAAGAACAATACATGCAGTTAAAAATATAATACCAAGTAAACCAGATTTACTTAAGTGATACGGAGAATATTGTTTTGGTCGAGTATAAATAGCTTCTAATTTACATATTAAAATATTTGATAACACATGTTTATTATCATTCGATTTGATAAATATATCGAATAGGTTTACAAGTCCTGAATGATACTTAATTTCAACAGGATCTCGGTATACACCATTAAATATTATATATAAATCTAATGAAACAATAAGATATATTTATTAATAGAGATAGAATTCGGAATTACTTTGAGAATTTTTTCCACAATCTAAACTGTATATATTCGACCCACTATGACAAAAGATTGATGAAATATTGAAGCCCGCATTTATCCAGCGGCCAGCTAAACTGTATACAGCTTTTGCATTTGCTTTAGGAATAAAAGAGCCAGCAGTTGATATAGGATCTGTTTTGTTCGAAGATTTATTATAATTATGAAACTGAATATTAATGCTCTTTGGTTGTTCTGAATATGAATATGAATATGAATGTGAATAAGATTTAATGAATAAATAGTTTGTTATAAAAAATAGGATAAATGATAGTTTATACATAATTAATTCTAATACAGGAGGAAAATTTATTTTCTGAAATCTATGTTAACTTATATACTAAATCTTAATTCAACATATCATGTTATCAAATATTTTCCGGTAGTTGTTTTTTATAGATTTTTATGAACGTCATGAATATAGCGTATTCTGACTACATTGCGACATTTAGATAACGGAACATTGCTCACTTCTATGACTTTTCCTGTGTCTCTCTCTCACTCTCTCGATTTACGTGAGTGTTCCGATTAAAGGTAAATATCAAACTATGGCGTAAAAAGAATGAAACACATATCATCTATTGAACAAGAAAAAATAAAAAGTTGTTGTGTTTTTTTGAAATATGCTTATTTGTGTATGATATATGCGTTCTTTAAAATATAATCTACGTGTAGAAAATAGGAAAAGGAAATAAATAAAAATTTGATATATTTAGTCTATGTCGTCATTATTCTATTATTAGTGTTAGTATCAGTTTTCCACAATTAACATTTTCATTGACGTTATAAAACATTTGCTTAATAATTTTACAATAAATGTTTTAAGAACATGACCAGACGATGACATTCGATCTTTAATCATATTTGAATGATTTTTATGAGAAATATCTAGACTACAGAATATAAAATTACATATTTTTCATTTCTTCAAACTGCAGCATGCGACTGAAAATATCGAACAATAGATTAAATCTTCATTTTTTTTCTTGTTTTTCTTCTTTGCTAATAGTTTGACAGACCATCGTTCAATAATGATTGTACAACATATAAACTATCTTTAATATAGAAAGATTAAATGCATATGATCTAGAATTTTCAGGCAATACAAAAACAAGCTGCTCTAATATATAAATTGGACTAATAGAACTTGTTTGACTTTCAGAATTATGACTTTCGAAATATATATTTGATATGTTCATTGCGGTTGGAAATTAACTGCCATCGGCGTACCGATAGTGGCAGCGCCGCCGTGGGTGTCTTAGGTATATATCAGCATAATTAGATAGAACAGGACAAATCTGTCTTTCATTTGACATTGGCTTTTACCCAGAATGTAATTATGAAGTAATACATGACTACCCAGTGAAAAATTGTCAGATTATACTTCATTATGTAAGATTATAATCGATTAAAATCTTTCAAATCAACGATAATTCGATTTTTAGTCAAAAAATAATCTTCTAGGTCAAGTATAATCTTGATTAAAATCATGTAGTTCTGATACAAAATATGGTAAATCAAGTTTGTACGGTTTTAATCAAAATTATATTTGATTTAGAAGATTGTTTTCTGATTAAAAATCGAATTATTGTTGACTTGAAAGATTTCAGTCGTTTATAATCCGGATTTTGTTGCACAAAAATTCGATTATAATCTTACATAATGAAGTATAATCTGACAATTTTTCACTGGGTATCTTTTTAATCATATAAGGAAAAAGTTTGAAATCTGAGCTATATCTACGATAGAGTTTTCTCGTAAAAACTATTTCTTTCAAGGTTCTATTCATTCCTGAAAAAAAAGTTTCATTTCATCATAATTTGAAGAAGGATGTAAACCGATTCATAATGCTTTTAAATGTCTCGTCTTTTTTTTGTACCGAGTTCGTAGCGTCAGGTTTTCAATAATAACTTCTCTGTGATGAGATATAATTGAACAGAATAATAAAATTGATTTCTTTTTTTGTTTTATATACAATAAAACAAAACGATACAAAGATTATTAAAGCATTTTACAAAAAAAAAACAAAAGAAACGAAAAATTAAATTCATTCTGGAAGGAAATTATCATTAAGATTTTCATAATGATTTTGTTGTTGACACGATGATGATGAAGATGAATGATGGAGATTTTTATTTCCATTTATTTTACCTTTTTCACAAGAATAATAATGTAATTTAAGTTCATTGTGCCATTCAATTTTTGTATTCATTAATATTGTTATTGGAGAATAAACTTTCGAATAAATACGATCAAAACTAATATTTGACATAAATGATGTTTGACGTAAACTATCTAATGAACATAAACGATTTTTTGGATTTTTTTCCAATAAATTATAAAGTAATTCTTTAATATCAGTTTTATTTTCTAAACCATTTAATGGTAAATGAAATTTATGATTTAATACTTTATTTGCCATGGATATATGGTCTTTAGCAGCTGACACCGGATATTCACCAAATAAACATACATACATTAATATACCTAAACTCCACCAATCAACACGATGATCATATGGTCGAACACTGAGTACTTCAGGTGCAATATCTAAATAGAAAAATACCGAAACTAAATAAATACAGTTAGAAAAAAATAAATTTATCTTACATTGTAATGTTCCACATATTGTTGTTGTTCGTTGACCTGATGCAAGCCATTTTGATAAACCAAAATCAATTATTTTTATATTTCCATGTTCATCAAGTAAAATATTTTCCATTTTAACATCTCGATATATAATACCTTTATTATGTAAATAATCAAGTACCATAGCTACTTGTGCAATATAAATTTTAACAATTAATTCAGGAAAACGACGTATACGCAACCATAATGCTAATAATTCACCATTTTCAACATAATCAGTTATTATATATAAATAACGACGAGATTGCCAATAATGATGTGTATGTACAATAAAAGGATGAGAAAGACATGATTGTGCTATTGTTACTTCATCTAAATAAAAAATGAAATTATAGATCTACGATTAAAATATACGTGGATTGATCGATAAACTACACAGGCATTCCGAAAACGTTGTAATTAATATTCTAGGGGGAAACAGCAGACTTCAAGAGTAGTGGCGTAACCACCGGGGAGCTCCCCCAAGAAACTTTCAAGCTCCCCCTAGGAAATTTTGAGATTCTCCTAGACTGTTAGACGTGCCTGATTAAAAAAATATGGAGCTGAACCCCCCTACGGCAAAATCTCGATCAATATGAAGCTAAGCTACCCCTAGGGCAAAATCCTGGTTACACCACTATTCAAGAGACTTCAACATACGAGCCTTCATTTTTTCAGAAGACTTCGATAAATTTCAAAAGCTTTCAAAGATTGCAGAAAACGTCTTGAGACTTCATGAGACTTCAGGCATGAAGTCTGTGTTGTTTTCCCCTTGTTAATATTTTAACACATTGTTATTTCGATTTCTCATGAGAAACAGGTACATAACAGTATTCCGTAACATGATCAAGGATGAAAAATGTTAATATTTCTCAGATTGGATAATAAAGATAATTTTCACGTCCGAAAAATAATAGCACCTTGTGTTCAAGGTGAACATCATACATCTCAGAAAATTATGTATCAATTGTATTTAAAATTCTTTCCAAGTGAGTACACATCCTTTTACGATATAATCATATAATGTAGGTTAATGGAAAACTTTTTAATTACTTCAAGTCAAATGAATTTAATGTCTAAAGTATTTTTCGTTCGAAAAAAAAGCTATAAATATTTTCCGATTAATTATCACATCCGATAAATATCCTAGAAAATTTTCTATTTCCTTTTAATCGTCTCGAGTTATTCGAACTATCAATAAAAACTAAATATAGCATCATCTAAAAATCAGTAGACTTGATAAACTCGCCGTGTGTTATGTAGTTTTCCTTTTTATATAATACTTAACTTTCTTTCTCCGTATTCATTTTCAAATGATCCTTCTCATAAACTTATAGAAAATAATTCTAATGCAATAATCATTCATGATTTTTTTTGAGCCTCTCAAATATTTAATAATGATTTTAGAAAAGGATATTCTCCATACGGACTTATGTTATTGCCTCGAACTAATTCAAAATAATAACGCACCAGGAGTTTCATTTTAATGACGTCTGAAGTACAGCTAACAAAAAGTTACTATATTTTATACAAACCTTTCACTTGTTGAACAGCATGATCTTTAACAATTTGAGATTTACTCATAATTTTCATTGCATAAATTTGTTTATCATGTATAGAAGAAACTTTTATCACATTACCAAATGCACCTCGTGCGATAATATCAATAACCTAAATTATAAAATGAACATTATAATTTCATTGAAAAAATAAAAAGATTTCTTTTTCTTATACTTCAAAATCTGCTTCAGTAACTTTTCCTTTAATTGAAAATTCTGGTAAAAACATTGCTTCATGTCCTCGAACAGGAAAATTTGTACTTGATCGTCGATATGGATTTCGTAATGATGATGTTTGATATTTACGACGTGATTGATTACGGTAAACACCTGAATGTACACCAATATTATCATCACAATGATTATCATTAGGTAACGATATATCATAACGATTATTTTGCGAGTGACATATAGGTGATGATGAAGCTGATTGTTGAAGAAAATTAAAACTACGAGAAAATAAACTAACTGTCCGACCACCAATTGATTGCAAACTGACATTTAAATATGACGAAGCTGGCTAAAAAAGAAAATATACAAATTCTATTACAAGCTGCTTGTGACATATCACAATTTTCATATTCATAGTAAGTAATTTCATCTTTTTGTCAGCTATTATTTTAAAATAAGTTCAAGAGATTATTTGAATACATCTGAAGTATGAAGTTAATTGAATCCCACATGTCTGAACATTTTTTTTATATATGTTTATACTGAGATCAATCTTACGAATTCTCTTGATAGATTCTTTTAATAAAACATCTTTTCCCGTTGAGAATTCATTGCATGTGCTTCGTATATAAATATTTATTCAACAAACAGCATATTATCTAGACGATTCATATTTAAAAGAAACGGATGTGGTTGCTACATGTTCGATATAATTGGAATGAAATTATCTTTTCATAATATTTTGTTAACATCTATATTTTAGATAAAGATGTTATCATAATAACGGAAAAGGAAACTGTTCTCGTTCTTTAATGTTGAATTTAATTAGTATATAAATGTCAATTTATGGTCAAAATAAAACAAACTATAGATTATGCAAATCGAAATCGAATTAAGTTAAATCGATTAAGAAATAATTTCTTATCTATTGAATTTAAAATTTGCATGTTACCTGAGGTTTTTTTCCTTTTTTATCCGAATGTGTATGTCGATTATCACGACGACGACGAAAACGTGGTGATGGACCATATTTTTTACCATTACTACTTTGATATGATGATGTTTCAAAGCTATTATCAGTATCGTCACTATTAGTTACATTATGTTGTTGAATAAATCGATGATTTTCATGTCCATTTATTGATAAAGTCTTTGTTAAATGCGGTGAAGTATTTTTATTACCCATCGAATGATATCGCTCGTCATAGCGTTTTTTTCTTTACATTGAGAAGATATATGGCACACGAGTCATATTTTTATACTAAAAATAAATAACAAAATAATAGAATTTACTTCAACTTTCATTAAGATATTTAATATACATAAATTCTTAATGATAATCATAGTGTATACATACAAATACTAGTATAGTTATCAAAGAATTTGCTTTATTTGTCTCGATCTCATCGTATGTATACATAGTTCTCGTCTCATCTCAAATAGATTATTTTGCACATATTGCTATAAGAAATGTATGCAATATGTTCATTTTATTATTTACTGATTGTAGAACAAAGGAAGAAAAAGCACGCATTGTGTCTGAAGAGAAGAAAAAGTGATGATCAAGATGAACATGAACAAGTTTGTCTTTTTTTCTTCTCTCTTTCTCTTCGTCTTCGTCTTCTTCTCATCAATAGCATGATGTAACATATATATATATACAACTATCATCTGTCGATCATAATGGGAAAGAATTGTTCTATATTATATGTTGATCAATCTGAGAGAAGAATAATGACAAAGCATATGTAATTGTTTAGACTTTTTCTTAAGATCAAATACATGTCGAATCAATAGATATACAGTGAAGAAGAACAGCTGTTACCAATATTTTTAAAGAAATATAACTACTTACAACTAACATCAAAATATATTAGAATAGAGAAAATATAAGTGTTAATGTAATGAGTTTTATCGCCTCTGAGATTTTGTATATATATATATATGAAAAAGAAAGAGAACAAGAACAACGTTAAGTTTCTTAACTGTTAAAACGGGTAAGTATTCAAAAAGAAAGAAAGAATGAATAAATTTTGATTTCATCAATGGACTTGTCATTCGACCAATCTCACTAAATGACGGAGGTCGCTACATATTTTAAAATGAAATACAACATCTTATTTTAGTAGTGATCATTTACAACAATAGGTGATAACATGAGGTCAATTTAGGGGAGGTTCACTAAAGCAAAAAAAAAGTATCGATTAACTCTCAAATTTATACTTGATAAAAATCTTAAATTGGAAAATTGAAGATACAACTCAGAGTATATAATCTACGTTAAAAAGAAATGTTTTATTTCTAATGATGATGATGACTAGTGGAAGTTATATTTCTAATTTAGAATTTATCTATCAACTAATAGTATAAAAAGCAATAAAATTGAATGTTATGTCATTTTTATAAACAATTTCTTACATAACATAGACAAAGTTTGTTCATATTACAACATAGAGAAACCTCGCATTAAGAGTTTTTATATATGAAATTATTACTGATCATTGTTGTTGATTAACTATTACTTCAAACAAAAAAAGGAATACTTGAATATTCACGTAAAATATGAATAATACATTCGAAAATCTTTTCTAAGATTAGGCGATTGATAAGGATGAGAACATATAGGATTAATACATTATTGTAATCAATCGGAAAGTTTTAATCGATTATAAAGATTGTTCAGACTGATATGTCAAAATATTTACTGTCTGTTAAAAGGACAAACTTAAAAGGTATTTGTTTTTCAACGTTGTTAATAATTTTCAAGGAGAAATTCTACTGCTATAGTCGTTTCTATTTGTAAGTGTTTTCAAAAATGTCTATGTCTTACAAGAAAAACATAGTTCTTTACTTAGCAGTATTATATTAATCTGAAAATCTTGGATTTATTATTTAAATTTTATCAAGAAAAATAGAATTGTATCTAAATTTATTCTTTATAAATCTGAGAGAGAAAAAATAGTAAATTTAACCTTGACGGAAGTCATACTTGAGTTTTTTTTCCACTAGAAATTTTCTCACATCGGTAAAATTAAATAACTATATCTTGATCTTTATAGAGAATGCATTTCTATTAATATTCTAATTTATATTCTTTTCGAGAATTAACCAGCTCTCAATTAACTATTGACAGATGTCATAAATTTTATTCTTATGTACTAGACAAATGATGATTAAATTTCACAAAGGCTATTTATTTATGTAAAACTAATTCTTATAAGAACATTGACCAAAATTATTATTAATATTTATCGTACTCTAACGAATATTTGTTTCATAAATCTTGATTTCATTTATATGCAAATATTTTTTCATCATAGATCAATAATATTATTATTATTAAAATAGGATGAGATTTCGATTAAATCTCAAGATGGATAGTTACTTAACACAAGATTTATTTTTTTATTCAAATAGAAAAAATGAATCCATAGATGTTCTATTTATTTCAGTAAACTTGAATGGAAGATAAACAAAACTTTAATATTCTCATTTATGTGCACATACATAATGTAAGTAAATATTTTAAAAATTCATAGCAATGAATTATCAACATATTCAATAAGCAAGAAAAGAAAGAGAATTCACCTATAGCTTACCTTTTTCTTACTTAATGATGACTAATAGAACGAACAAATACAATACACAGGTGATTCGTCATATCGTATATCACTAATTATTGCAATGTGTCTCGTTGTTATCAGAAAAAGTAATAAATAGGTATGATATTCTATCATATATTAATATTTTTTATATTTCATATCATTAGACGCCATCTGTTTAACAAACCGTAACTGACAATAAACAAAAAAATCGATCGAAACAAAAAAAATATTTTGCACAAGAAAAACATAATTTAATTCACGTTTTTATAGTACGCATGCAAATATATATATATGCATTGTAAATTAAATCAAAAATAAAATAATAATAAATAGTTATCTTGTTGATATGTTTATTTGAATTTAAAACGAAAAATCTAACGAAAGATTTTCTTCTAATAACATATGATCTTTGAAAAAAAAACAAATTAAAATGTTATTATTTAGTTTGTGTTGAATAAATATTATTTTTCCTTTACTCAAAACGTTTATAAAAAAAAGAAAAAAACTGAAATAAAAATAGTAACAACTGATTATTTTTTTGATTAATTGACTCGTAAATATGTATTTTATTTTTCCATTTCGTTAATTACCACCTTCGATATTAACAGTAGATAGTCTTTTTTTCTTAGAGTAATACTATCTAGATTTATTATTAATTTCGCTGATTGGTACTAAATAAAAAAACAATTTTTTTGAAATTTAAGCAAAGCTTTACTTTTTTTATGTGCACCGATTGAACTCATATTTTTAATTTGTTAATCTGATTAAAATTTTTTGTAAAAATAAAACGTTTATATGAAAAAAAAAACTTCGTACTTTTTCTTGACAACTACAAAAAAACATTTATTTAAAAGAATCAATGAAAAATATTTCACACACCACAGGTTTTCTTCATGAATAGAATTTTCAATTGAAGAAAAATCATCACTCATATGATATATTATCTTCAACTCTCACTGTAAATTTTCAATAGATAACAAATTTATAAAAAAGAAATGACAAAAAAAAGAAATAAAACATTTTCTTCTATTCTAATTATCGAACGATAACACCTTGAGCAAGTCTAGCATGATCTTCTAGTATATGTTTTACACCATTATAACAACGATTTCCTGGTATTGATGGCGGTTTAGAATGTGCTGGTTGAGGATATATTAGACGACAATACGATTCCGTTATAGACGATTGTGTAATGTTTATTTTATTCTCAGATGAAGATGATGAACTACCACCATTAAGTTTATTTTGAACAGATGTATGAGTTTTATGTCGTATATAATGATCATAGAATGGATTTTGGTGTAAAACATATTCACATCGTGGTGGTACAACTATTTCAGGTCGTTGACTTATTTCACCAAGACGACAACCAGGATGCCAAACAAGTATTTGTGCACTATTTGCCTATAAGCGTAAAAGAATGTGAATAAATTATTTATATTATTCAAAGAAATTTACATTTGGAGGGTAAAGTACACATGTCGGTATACGAATATTTTGTTTAAGAATTTCCGGTTGAATTGGTATTGGATTAGAAATAAGTATTGCACGTGAACCTTGTGGTTTAGTTGGATCAACATTTATTTCAAGATCCATTTGCCAATTAATTGTTTTAAGTACAAGTATTGAACCGTTATTAGCATTCATTGCAACAAGCCATGTATAAAAACGTTGATGACGTTTGACATTTGTTAAACGTGATAAACGTTCGTTACTTGTTGGTATATCCCATGTTATATGTGGATAAAAATTATCATTCATTAGAACTTTTATCGTACGATAATCAGAAAAAGGTCCTTGAAGTTCAATAACTTCAGATTTAGAACCATAAAATGGATAATTACGTCCATCTGAATCTGATATCATTGGACTTTGACCGGACATTAATTGAGGAAATTCCCAACTTGAATAACCAGAATCACCATAGGAATTATAGAAATCCATACGTGTACATGATTGTATCCAACCGATTTTCCAATGTTCACCTTCGTCTAATGGAGGAAATTTTAAAGTAGCTGTTGCTCTAAAAATAGTTATAACAAAATACATTAAACATTCTTTTCCTTTTTTTCTTTTTTCTTTCTTCTATACCGAAAGTGTGGTGTACGATATTTTAAAACAGCTGGACTTTTTTCATCTATTATAGTTGGACGATTTTCTATCGTAGCTTCAAGTTCGAGTATACGAACTGGTAATATAGGTTGTTGAGGTTTTTCATTTGTAATTGATTGTAAGGCTGTAGTACGTTTTGATTTAGTAACCACTTGGCCCATTACATTCATACTGGGAAGTGTTGGTGGAACAGCCTGTGGTTGTTGAACATTGATAAATGTCTACATAAGAAGAAAAAGAAAAAAAAAACGAACGTTAATCGAAGCAATTCACTTGTACATATATATGTATATATGTATGTATATATGAACGAAAAAAAGACACATGAGTACATATAAATTTTTTTTAATTTTATTTTATCTACTTGCCGAAAGTTAATTCATTTGTATAAAGGATGTATAAAATTTGTATTTATGTACCTGAGAATAGAAAGGAAGTTCAGCAGTCCAATAGCCAGTTGTAGCATATGACTGTGTGTAGAAATGCATAGTTTATTCTCCTTGAATAAATAATAGCGCTTAATAACTACTATTAAGATGGATATTTGTCGTTGTATGTAAAGTGAGGAAAAATTAAATATATAAATGTATATACGTTATTTTGACATAGATGAGGATGCTGAAGAAGTAATGTTGTCATCGTCCTTCAAGATCATCATAATCACCTGTTCTGGATCCTAAACGTGCACGTCACATTCGTTCTGTCGTCTAATATTAGAGAATGGTCTTGCGTTTTTTTTTCTCTTACCCTCTTCTTCTTCTCCTACTCTTTTTTTCTGCGTGTGTGTGTGTGTGTGTATGTATGTGTCTACTACTTGTCGATAGGTTTTCGCGTTTTTTTCTATTTCTACTAACATGCTGCTGCTGATGATGACGACGACGAGACAAACCATAAACACTGAGTTTATTTGCGTTCTCATTCGCACGTTATCAAATATAAAACAAAAAACAGTACCAATACGAATAACTTGTAAAAAAATGTATCATTTAATGTACACATGAAGAGACGTTATCATATGCCTAGGACTTCTGTCAAAATATATGTACAAAAACAACTGATTGATAATGAAATGACCTTATACGCTTTTTCTTCTGATTATTTTCTTTTTTTTTTTGTATACATACGGTAATTATACAAACGACTTGTAATACAAAATAACCGATCACATAAGAAAGAAAATGTGTCAATTCAATATTTTCATTTTCATTGATACCGTAACCATTAGCTGCTATAGTGATCATTGTTTTGATTAAAAAATCAATTATAATGGTTGTTGTTGATTTTGAAAGAATACTTTTCTTATTATATATTGAAAAGAATTGTAAGTTCAATAAACATACGTATAGTGTTATATGATTGAAAGCGATAAAAAAAACGAAGAGAGAGAAAAAAAACAGTGAAGCGTGTTTTTTCGATGATGTCGTTCTTGGGTTTGAATAAGAATGAAATCAAATTGAAATAATGTTGGCCGTCAAAAATGTGATGTAGAAAAGTATTTACGTATACTATTCGTTGAGGTTAGATTAATGATGATCGATTGAGTATGCATGTATGTATATATGCCCAATAGGTATAAACAGGCAAGAAACGAATAGCAAAAAAATTTTTATATTTGCGAAGAGTCAAAACAATAGGAAAAATTAGATAAAGGCAAAAACGATTAATAATCTATATCATGTGTTTTTGTCATATATATATAAACCAGTGAGTTGTAAAAATAAGAAGAAGAATAAAGATAAACATATATCAATTTCTTTTTCTTTCTTGACAAAAAAAAAAACTCGAGTTTTTTCAATTGTAACTTACCTGTTAAGAAATTTTTGAACTAGAATGACTATTACTATTCGATATTATATGAGTATGAATGTAGAGAAATATTTTTATAACATATTTTTTTGTTATATATAGACAAATGATCAGTTTGACATTGAGACTGTCTCAAGAGTATACGAAATTTGATATAGAAATTTCGAAAAAAGAAGAAATATCCAACTGTTTACTTTTGATAAATACATATATGTGTATTAATTGCGAAGGGAGAATAACAAATTACCTTTCTATTATTCTTGTATTCGTTGAGACAAGTTGTCAAATGTGATGATGATGACAAAAGAGCACATCTGTGTCACCATACTTTCGTATTATATATATATATGTATAAAAAGAAGAAGAAGAAGAGAAGAAAAGGTTCTTTGTCCTACGAATTGTACAATATATATGCATATACCCTCCGAACGACAAAATTGCAAATAAAGTCTATCTTCTTTCGGTTCTTTTTACTTATTCTTCTCGTACATAATACTTGCCTAAATATGAATGAATATATTTCTTTTTCTTGTTAAATAACAACAATGTACATAATTTTTCATATATATTTATACACAAATAAATCTAGCTTGTATGTACTGTTTTTAAATATATCTTATCTTATTCAATTAGTCTTTCCTACACAAACTTATTTAAATAAATCCTTGTTTTATATGATTAACTTTAAGTATAAGGACACAATGAATTAGAATCATTGATGACTTATTTATTATTCATGATTTAGATTTAAATTTCGTAATAGATCATTTTGTTTCATTTTGTTTTATTAGATAAATTTTCTTTGTATCACAGAGTACACATTCAAAAAAAAACAAAAATCAAAAGAAAAAGAAGGAAAACAGAACACAAAAGAAAAGCAACATAGATATTCTCGAGTAATTTTTAACGACGATGTTCACGAGATTTTGAACGATGCCGAGATGATGTTGATGATGTTTTATAATGATGATGATTTCGATGTGATTTATTTCCATTATCATTTTCTTTATGTGATGATGATGTTGTATGACGAAGAAATGCATTGATTTCTTGTTCATACTAATGAAGAAGAAAAAAAAAATTGAATTTTTTCATTTTGAATAATGTATCAATTTACTTCAGATGCATTTTGAGATACAGATGACGAAGGTTGTGGTAAATACATATTTGTTGGATCTCCGTAAGGTCCACCATGCATACTATGAGGATCATAACCCATAGGATAAGCACTGGCTGGATCATACATCATTGGATAACCCTAAATAGATCAAATAAAAATAAAATATCAAAATAATTTTTAGAATAAAATACCGTAGGTGGAAACATAGTTGGTGGAAAACCGGCATATTGTGTTTGACTTTCATACATATATTTTACATAATCCTCATATGTCTATACAAAATGAAAAAAAAAAACTCAATAAAATAAATTGATTTAATTTTGTATCTTACTCCATTGGCCATTATATGTGACATTGTTTTGTCGACATGTTTAGGTGCTGCAGGATTTTCGTTATCCCGATGTGAACGCTTTCGACTCGTACTACGTCTGTTTCCATGATCAGAATGTGATGATGCTGATGAAAAATAGAAAATTATTTAAAAATATATTCCTAAAAAATAATCTTATGGGAAATTTCTTTATCTTTCAGAATGTATTAAAAGAAAATTTGAGTGCGCATATATATATATATTGAAATATTGTTATTTTAGCAGCTATAATGTATACAGTCATGAAAAGGAATATTAAATAATTCATAATTTCGATAACTAAAATCAATTCCCTTCTATGTAAAGAATTAGAGATATTCATGCATAAAAAATACATATATTTGACTTTTAATAAACATACTTGATCGATGTCGTCGTTTACGACGTGATTCTTTACTGCTTCGTTCTCGACTTCTTGATCGTTGATGTCTAAATTAAGATTAACAAATATCACCAACAATATTCTTTTTTATTTATTGTTTTTTTCTTCTTTAGCATATATATATAGTGACTCGAATTTATATCTTACAAAATAATCGTATTCTCAATTCTGCTAAAAAAAAGGAACATTCATTTTTTTATATAAAATAAACATATAAATATAGTCTCTAATAAAATAAAAGTTCTTTGAATAATTCTTTTATTTATTTTCTTGTTCAAGTTCATCGTATAAAATTGGCATCATCATCTTGTTTTTCATTGTAATATTTGTAACCAATAATAATTCGCAAGAAAAGAAAGAATATCTCTATCAACCAACACCTTTTTTTAAAGTTCTGTACTGATTTAAATTAGTAGTAGAAAAGATGATAGCCAAATTTGTAAGACGAATAATTATTAAATAAAGAGTCACATCTGACCTATGACGATCAATAGAATTGGATGAACGTTGTGATGATGAATGATGATTTAAATCTTTCGATGGATTTATCGATAATGGTGATCGTGATCGTGATGATATACGTTTGACGGACTTTTTTGATATAGTTATTATATCAATTGTTGGATCAGGTGGAAATGAACGACATAAAGCTTCAGCACAACGTGGTTCAATTTCCTAGAATATACAAATAATAATTAACATATGATAAACTCAAAATTATGAATACCTGTCCATCACGTCCAATTTTAACAGGTTTATTTTCATTCCATGAATTAAACAAATGAAGAGTTTGATTAAATGGTAAACTCCGTCTAGAAATACAAAAAAAACTTGTTTATTTTTCTCGAGAGACAATAAATATTCGAAATTATATAACTCATTTAGTAGCTATCGATTATTCTATACAAAAAAACATAAATATCTCGACTTACCGTGAAACCCAATCAATAGGAATAACACCAGAAAATGCTCGATTGCTCATACCAGGTGGTAGTACCCAATTAATTGGTTGACTATCATGACGAGCTTCACCTGACATACGAGCAAAACCTTGAAATGCTTTACTTTCTGCAACTGAAAATATTAAAATAACATTTTGATATTGCTAAAAAAAGAAAGATCAATATTATATCAATTTTTATTTATACAAAATTAATTTTACTCGAAATGCTCGATTAAGTTTATTTTCATTCGCTGGTGGTGTTGACCATACACCCTTGAAAAAAAATATTATTATTAATAATAATAACGAAAAGAATGTTTATTTACTTTAGCTTTAGCTAATGAAACATTTTCTTCATTTCCACTTTTAATTAAAAAATAAACTGAATCATTAAATATATTATTCAATGCAGCAAGTTCTTTTTCATCTAAAATACCCGAAAATAGATTTATATATTTATATAATTTTAATTAATTACTATTAAATGTTATTGTTGGTTCTTCAACTGGAGTTTCTGGTAAATTTATTGATGTTGCTTCGTTTTCTTGTATTATTTCCGTTGGTATATAATTCGAATTTGAATCAGTTAATTCTTCTACGAAAAAAAATTAATTAATTATATTATTTATAGATTTAAATTTACCATTGGAATCAATGTTTTTTGTAAGAATATTATCATTAGATGCTTGAGTTTCAAGGTTAATAATTGGTGGAGTTTCTTCAGACATCTAATAGACGAAAGAAAGATATTTAATTGGTAAAATAATACTTGAATTATTATTACTTGTTCTTCCTCGGCGAAACTATTCTCATTATGATTTGTTTCTAAATAGAAAGATTAATAATGAAATATTCATTGTTTTTAATCGATACATACTTGATACTGATGAAAAATCATCAACATCAATTTCTGGACAAACAAGATCAAGTTCAACTAGGAAAGAAGTTAATTGTAATTAAAAAAAAAGAAAAAGTTGACATATTTATTTCTTACCTCCTGACATTTTCTTTTTCTTCCAACAAAAAAAGAAACGATAGGAAAGAACAAAATAACCATTTTGATTTTCTTTTCTTCATTACCTCTACATTGATTTACATAACACATTTATACACTTATACAAATCTTTGTATTAATCTATGAAATTTCTATATTTCTTTCTAGAAATTTTTTTAATAAATAATTTTAGAAAATAATTTCGAAAAAAAAATTTTCATAAACAAATGTTCGGTATTTATGTCTAAAGCATGGATTGGTTTGTTTCTTTTATTTTCATTCATCATTTTTCTATAGACACATAGTGACTGACCATAGTGTTTTTTTTCTATCTACTTGACTTGGTTTTAAATTTTGTTTTTCTTTTAGATCGTAATCTAGATCTTTAACAACAACAATGGGTGTAAGTGTGAAATGAAATATTTTGAAAATTAAATTTATATTTTATTTTTTTTTAGTATCGTGGTATTCGTAAACATTTGAAACGACTTCATGCACCAAAACATTGGATGCTTGATAAATTGGGTGGAACATTCGCACCAAAACCATCAGCTGGTCCACACAAAACACGTGAATGTTTACCAATGATCATCTTTTTACGTAATCGTTTGAAATATGCTTTAACATATGTTGAAGCAAGAAAAATTTGTAAACAACGTCTTATTAAAATCGATGGTCGTGTACGAACTGATTTTCTCTTTCCAGCTGGTTTTATGGGTTTGTTAAAAGAAAAATAAATATCTAATTTCATTTTATTTTAATTGAATTTTATTTAGACGTTATTACAATTGAAAAAACAGGAGAACACTTCCGTTTAATCTACGACATTAAAGGACGATTTTGTGTTCACCGTATTACAGCTGAAGAAGCTAAAGTAAGTTTAAATTATCAATATATATATAATAAGTATGAAAAAGCCTGATAATAAGTCATGCTTGATTGAATGTGTCGAGGGTAACTAAAGTTGACTGATATTTCTAGTCTATGCGTATACTGAACAAGAGGAATAAATACAAAAAAGTATATTTCTCGAAATTTATCGGCATGGACTTAATTTTTATAAAAAATTATTTATCTAACTGATAACTATCATTTGAAATTCTTAATATAAGTAAAAATTTCATATAGGATTTTGTTATGTCGAATTGTGATTATTTTTAGCTTACCATAAACCTACGTGAGAATAATGTCTAAGGAAGTTTCCACTAAAAATAGTTGTTATAAAGGCGACTACAATTTTTTTTAACCAGGAATGGTATATATACTATCGAATTCTGTTGAGTATCAGAAAAATCGATATTTGGCTTGAATTCAAGCCAGTTAGACACCTGGATCGGAGTCAACTAAATCTTTTGTCTGATATTTACTCTACAAACTGATATATTGTGAGGGCTCAAATCAATGTTTTAGCCAGGTTTACGGACACAAAAAAAAGTTGGATGCATGTCTCTAATTGACTTGAATTCAAGCCTAACATCGATCTTTATGGTGCTCAACAGAATTCGATACAGAAAATTTTTCTCTACAAACCTACATATCTCTCATTCCTGGGTGAAATTTGAATATGAAATTTGTAGTCGTCTGTGACTATAATTTGAAATTTTCAGCTTAAATAAACCTATTGATTTCAATATAATACGAATCTCAACGCTTATTTTCTCTTAAATTTATTTCTTTGGAAAGAACATATCGAAATAATGATATATATAGGAAAGATTCCTTTTCGTGAGTTCTTATTATTTTATCAGATATTTCAGTTCAATATGTTCCTCATTGAAAAGATATGAATACAATTTTGATAATTATTTTTTTGTTTAGTATAAATTATGCAAAGTTAAAGCCGTCTGCATGGGTCCAAAGAAAGTCCCATATATATTAACACATGATGCTCGAACAATTCGTTATCCAGATCCACATATCAAAACTAATGATACCATCAAACTTGATATTGCTACTGGAAAAATCGAAGAACATATTAAATTCGATACTGGTATTAATCATTTTTTTGTAATAAAAAAATGAACTAATTTTTCGTTTAGGTAATATTGTCATGATTACTGGTGGACACAATTTAGGTCGTGTTGGTATTATTCAATCACGTGAACGTCATCCAGGTTCATTTGATATTGTTCATGTTAAAGATGCATCTGGACATACATTTGCTACTCGGTAAATTAAAATTTCGAAACAAATTTCATTTTTATTTTCTTCTTCATTTTAGTTTGGCTTATGTATTTGTTATTGGTAAAGGACAAAAATCTTGGGTATCATTACCAGCTGGTAAAGGTATTCGATTATCAGTTGCTGAAGAACGTGACCGTCGTCTTGCTGGCAAAACTGCATAACTTAACATCATGATTTTACAAACGAAACACAAGAAAGAAAAGTTCCGCTGTTTTTTGTTTGTTGATAAAAATAAAAATAAAAATAAAACTGAACAGAAGAATTAAGTTCGAGAAAAAAGAAAAAGAAAAATCAAACATTGTTTTAGATAAACACATACACACACACACAATGGATATTGATGAAGAAGAAATTTCGAATGAATCAACACATGTTTTAAATGATCGAATAACATCAACAGTTGATACAGATTTTTATGTAGTATATAAAAAATTACCACCAAAAACTGCTGTAACAATAAGATTATTTGAACGTAATGAATTTTATACATGTCATGGAGATGATGCATTGTTTATTGCAAGAGAATTATTACATTCAACAAATGCATTGAAATATTGGAAAACATCTGGTATAAAGATAAAAAAGAGAAAGAAAAAGAAGAAATTAGTTTTCTTTTTATTACAGATACAAATAAGCCACTTGAAACAATATATATATCTAATAAACAATTTGAAGATATTCTTCGAAAACTTTTATTAGTTAAACAATATCGAGTTGAAGTGTGGAAAAAAGCACAAAAAGCATCAAATGAATGGTCATTAGCGTATCATGTGAGTTTTCTTTCGAAAACTATCATATCTATCAGAAGTGTAACAGTTAATGAATATCGAAGTGAATGAAAACTATTTCACTAATTCTATATAATTCAATAGTCAGCATTTAATCTACAAGCTTTATGATAATGAGGTGAAATTTCTTCAAAATTACTAGTGCACAACTCGAGTTTTGAATCTATCATCGCAACGAAATTAGCCGTTGTTCACTTACTTATGTATGATTGATATGACATGAAATAACCATTGTAGTTTTATGAAGTCAAAACTATACAGGAGTAAAATCAGGGGATAAACAACAGAGACTTCATGCATGAAGTCTTGAAAGTCTTCGAAATCTCCTGAAGTTTATGGAGTCTCTTGAAGTCTATTAAGTCTTGTGAAATCTTTTGAAGTCTATCGAAGTCTTCTGAAATCTTTTGAAAAAATGAAGTCTCGCTTGTTGAAGTCTTTCGAAGTCTTTAAAATCTTGAAGTCCGCCGTTCCCCCCCTTGAGTAAAATTTTATACAATCAGGGATATCTCTTAGTTTTTATTATGACGCATTTTAGTATTTAGTTTTTGAAGGCCTTAATTTAGTTATTCTACTTTCACGTGTAAAATATCATTTAATGTAAAATTCGACGTAGATGATCCGATGGATATTTTTAGTTTTCTATTCCGTCTAGTTAGACTTCTTAACAATTAAATAGCTCTTATATTAAACAGATTTATTTAGGTTCTATTAAAACTTAGTGGAATCCATGGCATAGATCATTGAGTTAAATCATACTGAATATCAAAGAAAAATAAATCTACTATAATTTCAGTTTCTCAGATCGATCATATATGAATCGCTTTATCTTTTAGTATCAAAACTATGATCTATTAATCATTGTATTATATAATTTCAGGGTTCACCTGGTAATTTAACTCAATTTGAAGATATTCTTTATGCCTCATCTTCAACAGCTCAAGAATCATCAGGTGTACTTGCATGTAAATTAGCAACAGAAAATGGTGTTACAGTAAGTTTTTGTTTTTCTTTAGAAAATTTATATTATACACGTTTTCTCTAGGTAATTGGCTTAGCACTTATCGATGTACAAACATTAACAATTAAAATGTGTGAAGTAACAGTTTCAAATCATTATTCAAATTTAGAAGTAAGACTAAAATATCAAAATAAAACTAAATCGTATTTATTATTCTAAAAAAAATAGACAATTCTTGTTCAACTTGGCCCAAAAGAATGTTTATTACCATCATTTACTTCAACAGAAGATAATTATTTACAATTAAAAAAAGTTATTGAAAAATCTGGTGTACTTGTTACTGAACGACCAAAAGGTAACTAATATCAAGCCTAGTATTAAAATAATATAATTTCTTCTTGTAGCTGAATTTTCTTCGAAAGATATTAAACAAGATCTTTGCCGTCTTTTGGTTAAAGGTAAAGATGAAGATAATGACAAATTCGAAATGAAAATTGGCGTTATGCGTATGTTTTATAATATTTTGAAAAACAAAACAAGTTCTTTTGTTTTTTTCTAGCTGAAATGCAAATGGAACATGCAAAATGTTCATTATCATCTGCTATTAAATTTCTTCAAGTAAAACGAACAAAATATTTTTTATTTCTATAGTCAATCTTTTTTAGTTACTCTCAGACAAAAATCAAGCAAATCGATTTCATTTAAAAACACATCAACCTGAACTTTATATGCGACTTGATACAGCAGCTATGATTGCATTAAATATTTTTCCTGATAATCGACAACGACCTGATTTCAGTTAGTTATTATATAAGATTTTTATATATGAACATATGTAATTGAAAATAATTTAGGTTCTAATGCAAAATCTTCAAGTCTTTATGGTGTACTTAATAATTGTCGTACAGCTCAAGGACAACGATTGTTGACTCAATGGTTAAAACAACCATTAACTGATATGGCTAAAATTAGTACGAATCTTTTTAATTGAAAATAGATTTGAGAGATTCAATTTTTTATTTCTGTGTAGATGAACGATTGGATATTGTTGATGCATTTGTAAATGATTCGAGTATACGA